CCATCATTGTTGTTTGGCGGGCCCAGGCTGGGGATTCGAACCCGCCACCTTAGGTGTATGTGGCTGGCGCCTTAGCCGCTTGAGCCACAGGCGCCAAGCCAATCGCTTATAACTTTAACGTGTGATGAAAAACATCATCAACGATTACTCCAGGTCTGTAACTTGCATATATGGCTAAGTGATGGCAGTATTCATTTACACAGAGAAAGGCTGACGTCAACAGCAGTTGGAGGTTGCTGTGAGCTGTGTGATGCCACGGCACTCTACCGAGGGCAATAAAGTGAGACTTGGTCCCTACCAAAAAAAAAATTAATATGTTCAAAACTGAACTTCTGATCATCCTCTGAAAACTTGCTTACATGAGTAAATATTGGATCACTCAATAAATTACATATCAAGGTCCAGGACTGGGAAAAATCCAGGCATCTTATTTTGTTTCTTTTTCCCCGATGTCTTTGGACTATTTTTTCTCTGTTAGTTTTCATCCAAGCTGTAATAGGCAAAATTCTAGGATGACTCCCAAGATTTCCCCCTGTTGAGCCCTGATTAACCTTCTGCCTTTGAGGAAGAGGGAGGGGACCCATGAATAGAAGATGACATGGCTTCCTTGTTATATGACAAAGGTGATGAGTGACAATACTGTATTATATTTAGCAGACTTGAGGGACATTCTCCCTCTGGCTGTGACAAAGTAAGCTGCCCAGCTGTGGAAGGACATATGGCTTACAGCCCGAGGATGGCCTTTAAATGCTGAGAGGGGACCCAGGCTGCCTACAGCAAGCGAGAAAAAGAGGACCTCAGTCCCATGAGCTCTGCCAACAACCTTAAAGAGGTTGGAATAGGACCCCAAGCTGCAGCACAGATGGCATCTCTTGCCATCACCTGACTTCAGCCTAATGTGACTCTGAGCAGAGGGTATATAGCTAACCCGTGCTGAGCTCCTGACCAGTGGACAGAAATAATAAGTGAGTGTTAAATCACTAAATTCATGGTAGTCTATCACATAGTAATAGAAAAACAAAACACAAGTCAGAATTCGCCCCTTCTACAGACACTGACAGGGAGTTCAGATTGATCTGTTACCATTACCCCAAAGTTAATCATGGAGACAGCGGTTTCCATTCTGAATTTACAGTTCCCTATTCAAACTGCAAAACCCAGGTCAAATGTTTCCAAGCCTTTCCCTGCAGCCACCTCCGCCCACTCTCACGCAGACTGAATTACTCCTATTCCGCTTCCATGCAGGTATCCAAATACTCCCTGGAACGCACCTTTTATTTTGCTATTCCCCTTTCCTCACCTCAGACTGTGAACCTTTCAGGGCAGAATTGCCCCAGCCCCCTGCTGAGCGCCTGGTTTGTAGAGGGTGCTAAATACAGCGCTTGGATGCTGAGGGAATAAAAGGAGGCTCTGAGTTAACACAGGCTTTTGATGCCGGGGAGGAGCAGTTTCTCTCCAGCACAGCTGATCAGGCCTCAGGTATTAATGGAAACTCAGAGAGCCTTCTCCATGACAACAGCTGGGGTGAATAACCAAGCCCTCCCTGCGTTAGGAGGGCAGACATTTACTATCTCAAAGGAGCTGGTCTGAAATGGGTAGGTGTGCGTGGGCAATGGGTAGCAGGTGCTGTGCTCGGTTGGTATGCTTGCTGTTCAAGTCATTTGTGTTAATCCACTATTGAAAGCAAATGTCACCCTAAATAGCCGACAACCTCACAGAGCTAGTTTTACTCTCTGGGGCTTGAAACTATGCCTAACAAGACAGAAACAAGAGTCAGACTTTGACAATATTCCTGGCATTCATAGAAATCTGGGGGATGATAGTCCTTGTAGGGAAGTCACAGATTCAGGTAAAATTATGCAAAATCAATCTACAAGGAACACATAGCATTCGTTGGATGTATGTTTTGAGAGAATTGTTTTCTTTAGGACCCACTTCGATGGGCAAGCACTGGAACTGTAAGGGAATGTTCCTCATGTTTAACCTAAGTTAACCAGGCCCTCGTTAGGATCCTACCTCGGGGAAGAAGACCATTCAGAATCAGAGAGGGCAGAAAGCAACGTACAGAAATAAAACCCCTGTCTGATGCTGCATCACCAGCTGGTAGGAGCCAGATTCTCTTTATAAATAAATCACTAAACAACCAACAAAGAGAGTACAGCTTTCTTTCTCTTTTCTTCTTGTTTTCCTTTGAGACAGAGTCTCATTCCATCATCCAGGCTGGTGTGATCATAGTTCACTGCTGCCCTGAACTCCCGGGCTCAAGTGACCTTCCTGCCTCAGGCTCTTGTGTAGCTGGGACTACAGGTGCACACCGCCATGCTAAATTTTTAATTTTTTCAGAGACAAGGTCTTGCTATATAGTCTTAAACTCCTGGCCTCAAACAATCCTCCCACTTGGCCTCCCAAAGTGCTAGGATATAGGCACGAGCCACCAAGTCCAGCCTGTTTTCTAAAGAAAGTCTCATGACCACACTGTTGGAAACTTAGAAACTTGGAAAAATTCAGAGGGGAAATGGTCTTGCCACCCTAAAACAATTCAATTATTCTTAATTTGTAATTTAAAAAAATTACATGTCTAAATATTTTTAAAACCTTTTGGCATGAACTCTTTTATCAGGACCTCTTTTGGCCCCTTGAGGGTGTATGGGAGTCATTCCTAAAAATCAAGTCAGATCCTGTAGGTTCTACATTTTGAAAATCTTAAATTAGATGCTCCTTCATTCTTTCAACAAATATTAGCTGAGCAACTATTATATAAACTCGACTTTGTGCTAGGTGTGAGGTTACAGCTGTGAATTAGGTAGATGAGGTCCCTGCTTTCACAGAACTTACATTCTCACTGTGGTCTTGTGTATGTTATACTGTGTAGATTAAGACAAAAGGGAAAACAGAGGAAGTATTTTAGGAATGTATTAATTATAATACATAATTATATACCAGTATATAAAAATGCTAAAAGAAACTTGAAACCATCAGAACACAGTAAATACCTTCGATGCTCTGTGGGCCCACAAGATTCATGGCCTGGTGAGCTGGATATTCCACCCGGGGCCTGGCAATGCCCAACTGCTCCATAACGCCATGGAGCAGCCTCTGGATGTCCGTTTCTGACACCCGGTCAGGGGTTCGTGGGTTATAAGCAAATGCTGGGGTCCATCCAAAAGCCAGACCAAACAGTAGGCCAGATAGCATGGTGGAAACCATCCTGGAGACCATTTTTAACCTACAGAGAAAAGACCAAACTTACACTGATTGGCCACATTTGGCAATCGTGATGATGCAATTGTGTAACCACTCCAGGTTGTGGTTCATGGACCAGTCAGCCAGAGAGGGATCACAAAGAAAAATCCTTAGAGGTGTCCATGCTAAGCAGAACATCCCTGTGGCAAGGCCTTAAAGAAACCAACAGGAAGAGGGGCCCAATTCCCTCCATTTGCATTCTGGGCAGTTCTCCTCACTCATAGTTTCTCTTCCCTACAGCTCCCTGAAATTTCTGCATTATCCCTCACTTCACCCTTCTCCCCCTCGCTTACTAAAACAACCCAGAATCTGTTTCAATTTTGAGAAAGAGCTAGATGGTGACAACTTGAGTCTTGACAGTCTCAGGGAAGGAAACGCTATCAGGAGGGAGTTAGGAGAACACAAATGATAAAGAAGCACAGCAAGGTTAGAAGTGGTGGCAGGAACATCTTAGCTTAGCAAACACATCTGTGTTTAAGATCCCGAGGGGAATGGAAGCACAGGCAGCTCAGTGTGGGCCCGGCAATCTGGTGGGGTAGATGAGGAATGCCTGCTCAGCCACCAGTTACCTGATCGAC